CAAGCACCCATCAATGAAAAAGCACCCAGATCCTACCTGCGCTGCCACTCAGCCACAGCGGCATTCAGCTGTTACACAATAATAAACTCAACAAATCATTTTTTAAAAAGTTAAATAAAAGCTTGTCTCATTAACAAAGGAGGATAATCTAATTTCCAATCTGCAGGCTCAGGCTGAGAATCACAACAACGGATACAGCAGCGCTTCTCTGAAGGACACATCACTGGGGAAATAACAACAATTAGAGCTGCCAATCACCCAAAATGCCAGAAGATGGTTTTGGATGAGTATCTGCTTGGTCGGGCAGTTATAAAGGGGGTACAGATAGAGACGATGGGTGAGGGAGAGCAGAGATCATGAGATGTGCAGTATAATCACATCACAAATCTGTGCTTGCGTGAGCTGAGCCGCAGCATAAAGACTGTTTTTGGAATTGAGTTTCAGCCTCAAGGTAAAATTGGATGAGTTTACCTCAAATCTCCACACATCTAATTAGGAACTCACTGAAAACAGTCTGTTTAAGTACTGTAGTGCTCAAACTAAATTAATAAAATGATTAGTCAGGTATTTCATTGACAAACTTTTGGTAGTTAATTACTTGTTTTAAGTGTTTTTTCCGTTCTAAGCATGTAGGAGAATCTACGGTGGTCAAGAAACGCATGAAAGGCCAATGTTTGGTTTGGCTTATTCTAAGGTAACAAAAACACAACAATGCTTATTTCCAGGTCATTATACACAAATGAAAACATACCTATGAATATTATATTTAGTTTCTGCCAATAGATCCTCCTAAATGTGACACACTGGACCTTTAAGTCCTTTTTTAACATTTGTTCTGTTTCATATTATTGTAAACAGTGAATACATTTTGAAACATTAGATGAGAGCAATTTTTTTAAAATTAAAGTATCAGCTAAGTTGTAAAATGTTGATACTGGACATATTGGCAGAAGGTTCACTGACACTGACAATGTATTTCATTTGTTTTCTAATTTTGCAATACAATATCCCCACATAGCTTCTACACCACTATTCAACTGTTTAATGGTTAAATTTAGGCACTAACAGCACCTGCTTAAGGTTAGGGAAAGGGCTTTGCACACCCACCATCCACTTCAACCACCTCTGAATAAATTGTGGCCGATAGTAAATGTAGCATGTCCTTCTCTGGAAAACATGTTGCCGGTGAACATGTCAGGCAGCAATTACATTTCCTTTGAAAGCCAAACACCAAACAAATTAGTAGTACATCATTTTAAGGAGACCTTTGTGATATGCATTTTTCACTATTTTTCAACACTGCATTAAAGATCCAGCGAGTAACATTTAGGAGGATGTATTGGCAGAAAGTGGATATAATATTCATAGGTATGTTTTCATTATTGTCTGATTATTTGTTGCAGAAAAAGGGATACAGACAGATTGAAAAAACAATGATAAGCATAATCCGTGAAGTCTCTAGAATGGGTAAAACCCCAAAAACCTAGATCCTATAGACACTGATCCTTCCCATAATGCAACTCAGTAGTTTCTATGGTAGATCCTTCATGTTAGTAGACCACCCATTTAAACTTTACAGTCCAGGATGTAAAAATTTGACTTGTTCTTTGTTCCCCAGACTTTGTGTGTCTTTACTGAAGCTAAGCTACTTATATTGCTTTACACCTCTAAAGTGGAGGCTGGAGAAGTGTAGGTGTGAATGATTTTAGAGTTATTGGACATTTTAGAAATGAGAGAGTCACAAAAAGTAGGCTGATGTCAGTAATATAGCCATTTTTGCTGATGACTAATTAGTACACATTTTTAATAAAGTAATGAGTAACACCGGTACTACTCAAAGTGAACTTGATGTGTAAACTCAGTGTAGTGGCCCTTTAAGTACTCTTATGTCACCCCTCAGCGCTGACTCAAAACTCTGCAATAAATTTCACGTATCAAGTTATCTCCAGGCTGCTCAATGACGTGCAGAATCACATACTAATACACTCCTCAGAAATATTGAACTCCATAATTTATTTTTTAAATTAAATTCTCGGCATGCCCAAGATCGGCTTCTCATTTTAAAAGATTAGATTTAAAGATGAGCATCCTGCACAGGTTTACGGATTCTCGTTTTGAACTAAATTGACAACATCAGGCTATTGAGCACGAAGCAATCAGAGCACACGAGGGAAAGATGGTGTTATGATCTCACTAATGTGAATCAAAATGAAATCCAAGAGTCTGTCACATATCAGAGTGGATGCTGCAGTTTATCCATTACGTAGTTTTTCCCTAGTATACTATAAAGAGATCAGCCAAGGCTCATTAGATTGTCAAATGGCATATGAGACATTCTGCACAAGAGGCATGCATCGTTAGAAATTCCTAATGCCTTACCTATTTCCTGGTATTGATCTTGAAGAAGCCTAATGCTAAAGCAGCCTGTCATCTTACTGCTTAAAAGACAAAGATAGACAGAGCCATTACTTTTTCTATTGTTTTGAGAAGTTGACTTCAAAAGGGTAAAAACCTCTGGTGTTGTCTGAGGCTTGGGAAAGCGGAGCAAGGCAGGTGGAGCTGGAAGGGATGCAGGGATAGAGAGAGCGCTCAGAGATGGGAGATGGAGGAGTGGAGAGGGGAAGCCCTTTGATCTCTGGCAGAAGTGAGTGCTGAAGAAAAGACACAGAGAGCAGCAAAGAAGACTGCAAACAAGGCATGCACACAATTCCCAATAGTAGCACAAGCGCGAGAGGAAGAGACAGACAGAGGGAGGGAGACAGAAGGAGAAAGAAAAGTCAAGCAGATCGAGCGAGACAGAGATGGAGAGAGAGAATGACAGGGTCAGAGAGAGGGAGAGAGAGAAGAAAAGAGAAGAAGAAAGAGAGGATGAAAATGAAGTAGAGGGAAACAGATAAGACCAGGATGTTAAAAGGATTTCAGTCCGGGGCCGTTTGGGGAGTTCTCTCAAGCCCTATGCTAAAGCAATTAGTATTGAACCCCTTCTAGGAAAGTGCAGCCAAACCACAGCAGAAGTCTCTAACATAGTTAGTGTGTAACAACCAAGTCAAGCAAACCCCACGGTCCCCATTAAACCCAAGTTTTAATTGGCATGTCAGGATGGTGCTGCGTTTCACAACCAATGAGTGTGCGCTCTGAAAAAAGTTGGCCCTGTGAGTCTGCACAGCCCACTTCAAGTGGAAACCCCGAGACAGTAAACAGAGCGGCTGCGCGGGATTGAAAAGGCCTGTGCAGCGTGATAACAAAAGCTCAACATTAAATGTGAAAGGGATATATCAAAACAACTGTCACTAATATAGTTTCACTGTGAAGGAAAAGTTGTTGCCTACCTCTTTGTTGTCCAGGAGTTTACTCGAAACCAGTTCTTAAAGTTTACAACTGTCACTTCCAATTTATGTTAAAGTTAAAGAATGTTTATGTAAGTTTGAGTGTAAACATTTTTAACTTTTGCTGTATTGCACAAGTTGTGACACGAGGGAAACAAAAACAGTGTCAAATGGGAACTGTGCCTTGTTACCAGGGCGACTGTTGCAGGAAGGACTTTTTTTCTTGTAACACAGCGTCGCTGCATGTGCTAACTGCTAATGAGCTGCTGCCACTAGTATAGGGATCATCAGCTGTACTGTACTGTGAGCTCGAAGTACCCTGGGAGGATTGTTGAGCTTTGGAAAAATTATAAATAAATAGCAAATAAATAAATAACAAACTTTTCTTTTATCTTTGCTGTTCTTTGTGAAATACTGGATGATTTGACCTCTCTGAGCATCAAAAGGGTAAAATGTCTCTTTGATCCTAACAATTCACAATCATCTGAAACATAACCACGCAGTTTTTTGGAAGGGGTCTAATGTCAAAAAGGTTGCAACCACTGGTTTGATCTTTTGATTTTTGATTTTTTGGTTTGTTTTTCAAGTAAATTCATAATATGGAAAGTAACTCTTAACTATAGCTGTAAAGTAGTATTGTAAGTGTAGTAGAGTAGTAATGTAGTGGAGAAGAATTATCAAGTTGCATAAAATGGAAATATTTAAATAAAGTACTAGTATCTCTACTAATTGTACAGAAAAACAGTAACTGAGGAAATGGTCTTCCACCACTGGTATCAATTTTCTCATCTAACTCTAACAAGAAAATTAAGAAGTTGTAGTGATGTTGAACTATTCCTTTAACAGAATTATCTAGAAGTAAATTGGAGCAAATATGCACGTGCTCCATTACGTTCAGTATCAGCTGGGATTGTATTTTGCCTCCAGTGCAGCCTCAGTTCTTTAAAGCAACAATTCAGCAGGGAAATACTGATTTGACAGCGTCACATAGTTCCTGCTGACTTTTATAATATATCTGCTTCCACCATGAGAGCAGGTGTCATTTCACTGTTCAGTTATTCACTTTAGGCAGTCACCTGCCTCGTGTACCTTCATCCTCCTCCTCAGCTGACAGCAGTTGAACCTCAGTGTTTCCAGCTTTGACTATATGAACATTTCTCACAGTTTCACTGTTATTTTGAAGAAGTCCGTTAGCCAGAACAGTCAGTCTCCTCTGACCTCTCTCATCTGTGAGTCCTTTCCAGGACCACTGCTGACTGGCATTTTCCTCTCTGTGAATAACAGCCATCGCTGACTGCAGTGCGCCAAAATCTCAGGAGGCTGTCACTTTCAGGAACAACATGTCTGGCACAGACAGCCGCACTACATCTAAAGTCAAGTCACTTTAACAACACATCTCTGCCATTCTAACATTTAGTTGAGCAGCAGCTGAGCGTCTCATCCTTGTCTGCGCGCATTATGCTTCTTCTTTATTTATATGTGACTCACCATCTGGAGGAGTGAGCTGCTGACGTGAACAGGGATGCGTAGCCAAGAAAGTGGAAACTGACTGTCTTGATTTGAGGACATCAATTATCAGTTTAAAACTGTGAATATGATGTTTTTCTTTGTGCTAGTTTAAAAAAACAAACATCTTGTTGGTTTGAGATTGGGCAAACTGTGCCCACTGCTTACCTTGGAATATGGCAGCATTCTGGATGATAAGACGTTTGAGTTGAGCACTGACAACCTGCAGACCAGACTCCATGTTGCTGCGTGCAGCTACCTGATACCGCTCCTCCATCTTCTTGGAACAGCAGGTCGGGCCCTTGGTTTGGCAAACCTGCAGATCCGCACCTGGCAGGAAATCAGCAGAGACAGGACAAGAGTCTGGATGAGCAGAGGGAAGGAGCCGCAAAGCTTCCTTAACACATAAAAAACGATTCAGCTGTATCATCTGCATGCTAAACACAGGGAAACACTATCTACAGCAGATTCTAAAGCCTTAATGAGCATGTGATCATTATGTAGAGGCTGTGTTATTTAGCAGGGCTGAAGTCAAAAATAAATTGCGCCTAAAAATGAGTCATTTTGATGCACATTTAAGCAGTACACCAAGGCTATGTTGTTCTCCTCAGAGATCAATTTGGTCAACAGAAACTTTCCCACCACTTCAGGCTACACTTTTCACACAGAGGATCAAAAAAAGTATTTTCTAGGCGCAAACATGAGAGCCAGGAGCAGTTCAGCGTGCAGACAAACATACCCAGGTTTCAGCATGCTTTCACTATATATGAAATTAAAAAAACAGCCATGAGTAGGATGGATCGAAGGTGATGAAATAACATTTCTGCACCTGGCCACTGACACTACAAGTTGTTTACACAATTAATTGGATTCCCAGAGCTCTTTTGAAAGGTGTAGATGTAAGCTTTGCAAAAGCGAAATTAAGGTAACGCGAATGTGTCATTGGGGCCATGTAGCTATACACACCGGATCAAAGAACAAACGCCCAGAAGAAATTATTTCCATTGGAAAAAATCCCAGAAAAGTGTGAGATAACCAACTATGAGGTTGGAATTCAGTCTGATAAAGGATAGCAAAGCTGCCTCGGCTGCTGCAACAGTGACGAATGCACCGCAGCTTTGTGTGATGATGCTCTGAAGGACAACTTTGACAAAGAGCCTTTCTTTCTTGTTTTGTTATGTGAACATGTTTCTTCTCATAATATCAAATAAATGCTGCAAAAAGTAAAAAAAAAACATTCTAAAAGTTTAAAAAAGAGAGTATATTGAAGTAGTGGTCTATATAGCGGTATGACTTAAAATTTGTATTGTCACATTTTCTTTTGTTCGGGACAGAAAAGGGGGGGAGAAAGAGAGAGGGGACGACAAGCAGAAAAGGACCACAGGTTAGACGCAAACCCATGACCGCTGCAGCAAGAACTCAGCCTTGATACATGGACCCCAGCACTACTAAGTGTGTTACCAGTGCACCTACCAGTATGGCGGTATATGGAAAATTCACATCATATGGGGAAATTAAAACCAGTATACCGGTAAATGGTAAGTGGTATATCGCCAAGCACTATACTGCAGTTAAAACTAATGGGGTTTTGAATTAAAAAGGGAAGCACAAACATTTATGTTGCAGTTATCACCATTCAGTGTCAAAACACCTCTAATGAAAAAGAAAGGTCCAGTGGAATAAACGCTTTATATGGACAAGCGTATTCCCAAATCATTGCTCTAAAATGATGCACACGCAAGACATCGCACAGACATAAATAGGGCACAATCTGATGTTTAAATACAAAGAGGAGTTCCCTCTCCTTAGTGCTTCCCCCTCTCTCTCTGTCCCATGTGGCTGTTGAAAGCTTCAGCGGAGGCTGCAGTTGTAACGTGCCAAGCTGCGTCGAGGAGTTGTCTGCAGGATCTGCTGCCTGAGAGGCGTCAGTGACAAGGGCCTGATTGATGGTGTGGTAAACAAATGTCAGGGGAGTCTGCCAGCTTCAGCTGCCATTGCTTGGGGAGCGGAGGATAAAGAGGTGGAAGCATAGAGATTAATTTGGAGGGAGGGCTCCGAGTGTGAATACACATATATATATATATTTATATCAGAAAAGTCTTGATAAAAAGTGTGTCAGAAGACAGAGGAAAGGCTTTTGTCGAGGCGAAGGCTTTATCTTAATATGAAAAGTGAATATCTCTATTGGTTTGAGTCTTTGTCACTTTGAAATCTTCAAACAATCGATCTTCAGAAATAGAGCTCAGACTATAACAATGAAAACAGCAGGCATGGAGGGAAGTTAAACTAGCAGGAGATGCAGCAGAGTGACAGTCTTGATAATTAATAAGTAGTGAGGAGTCAAACAGAGAACAGCTTCGGCTAACTCCCTTCTGACTCCCATGGCGGTTTAAGTCTAATGAGTGAAACAGGCAATAAAACTGTCACGCCGCACCTTTTGTATGCATACTGACAGGCTTAATATCTTAAATCAATACCGACAAAGGACTCCTGACAGATAAGATCAAGTTAATTTCAGACTGCAGGGGCAAAATTATTAAGCTGTCAATAGCACCATAGGTGAGGTGAGCGCGGCCGGTGCAGAAAAGAGACGGGGATTTAGCAATTATCTCTGCCAAAACAGACACTTTCATCTGCACGTTTGTCGTTTTGCAGATGATAAATGCGTTTCATTACAGGAGTTCCACAGCGGTGCGGAATAAGTAAAGGATTCGGCAAGAAAATGATTCCCCGTAGAGTTTCACAAATAATAAAATCACACCGTCTAAATAAAGCCTTCTTTCTGACTGACAGATCACTTGGGAATAAGCTTCCTGCGTCTCTTCTTTGCTTTAGGCTCAACTCTCTTTCTCCTCCCCCATCGTTTTTTTATTCCTTGTCATCCCTGCACAGTTTTGTTCTGAGCTTGTTTCACTTCACCTACCTTGAGCTTAATAGCTATCGGGCACAGAGAGCACCTTTCTATCAGTCTATTATTGGTTAATTAGTCGATTTTGTGTCCTGATGGCCAATTCTCTCAAAGAAAATGAAGAAAGACAAGGTGGCGGGCTAGGAGCAATTTAGATGTAAATTTCCTCAACATACAATCTCAGTCCAAGGTGACGCCTTTAAATTATTACGTACTTTCAATCAATACTTTGAATTGGTGAGCCAGACAATTCGACATGCAGAACAGCTGCTGTTTTCAAGAGCGTCAAGGTCTTTGAATGCCTTTTTAGAAACACATTGATCGCCCTTCAGTTTGTCACAGCTTTATGTGACAGTCCTTCGCTGTTTCTCTCATGACAGAAAGTTTCTGTTGAAATGCCACGGGTGAAAACTCCATCAGGGGCTCAAACAGTCGTGTGTACACAAAGACGAGAGGTGTCCCCCTCCTTCTCTTCTTTAACAAGCTCGGGGACTCCAAGCCGAGGGAACGGGGACAGCCACAAATACAGTACGTTTCTCTTACTTTCCCAGCACCAATTAGAAAGCTATCACTATGCAAGTTTAATGATGGAGACCATGGGGGAAAAACAAGTTGTATTAAGATATAGAATATGTTAAAAGCTGTTCATTATGAGCATAAATTATACATCAACTACCAGAGTTGAGTCGAAGCATGTGGGACTCCTTGGCTTCCTCTCCAGGGCAAAATAAGCCAGTGTCACTTTGTAGAGACAATAAATGAAATAAAGATTTACAACCAACCTAAGGAATAATAATATCATTATTAATAGCTACTGGGGATGACAATTGTTTTAAGTATTTTTAGTGCTTTGCTCACTGCTCTACTTTAAATCGTTTGATGAAGCAATAATTTGAAACCTGGAAGCATGAATGTGAAAGAGCCTTTTTTCACATAAAACAATGAGGTAGCAAACACAAGTGCCCTTCATTAAAAAACAGAATAAACGAAACACAAACCAGTGCTTAATAAGACACAAAGACCTATCGCTTCAGGTTAAGTTGATCCCACCTATTGGCCGCTGTCTGCTGGCATTTAAACAGCAAGAGTGTTTGTTCTCTGTTGCTCAGATTTTCATGATAAACAACAAGACCCGATGACCTGTCCCCACAGCTAATTACTGGGAAGTCTCCTGGACTTTTTTTTAATTTTTTTTGCATCTTGCTAAACAACATGAAACTATAATTGTTTCAGCTCAGAGAGAAAAAAAACAACTCTTCCCTTGCAGGACCACTGTTGCTGTGGCTCCTGTTGAAATAAGTGGCAGCTGTCAGCCCTGCCTCCAGCAAACTAGTATTACTCTTCCACTTAGTGAGAATCTGATGCTCCTCTCATGAATCAGGTCAGCCGCTGCCGTCAGAGATCCACCACCACATCCTCCGCTCACAACCACCGCTGACACTGATAGAGCAGCTTTCACACTCATGTCCCGGGGTAAGTGCTTGTGCGCCTCCTGCACATACGAAACAATGGAGTGAACTGACACCCAGCCTCCATTTCACCTTCAGACACTACAACCACCCACAGCAACAGCCACAACAAAGACAAGAGTGGTACTCCTACAGCACAGTTAGGGTTTTTGTTTTTTAATGTTGTTTCTCTGCACTCACTCCTTTTTGAATCATGTTGGTGGAAAGAAAAACTTTTGTTTTTTGGTGTTTTGCCCCCTGGCACCACATGCAGCATTATTAGAATTCTGCTCTGCCTTCCTGCGGACATCTCTCTGAATCAGCAGCCTCCCCCACACAGTATCAATACAGGCTACTTCACGTCTCCCCATCACACACAGAAAGTGATACTTCCCCCGTCAATTCACAGCTAGGGCACCCTCAACATTTAATTTCATAAATCTTTTATTTGCTGTATGCCTCAATGAAGAACTCGTGTTACATTAAAGCTGCACAACAAGCCCTCTGTTTCGCATGTATTCGCCAAATTTTTTGAGCAAGCAAAGTTCAGAATAATTACAGAAGATGTAACTGTGACTGAAAACCTTCAGCTTATTCTGTATAAATTAATGACAAGGATGTATAATGGATGAGGCATGACAAGGGAAAAAAAAGAGGATAGGACCAAAAATGTACTAAATATATGAGAAGTGGCTGCATATTTCATGCTTTTGAAAAAAGTCAGCTCATTAAGACAAACGTGGAAGAGCTAGGATTTATGGAGATCCTACCTAAAGTACAAGCCTTGGGCCATTACTCTGTCTCATCCTGGATATTACTTTTGAAAGTTTGATGTATTGCTTAAATATTGTCCAGAATGATGATTGGCATATCAATGTCAACACTGGATAACATGCCTGGAAATTTAATGTCACCTTCTTTTGTAAAAGAAGTTCCAGTGAAAGAAAAATATTATTTATTTAGCAATAGAATGAGACTTTACAGGCTTTTGAAAATAATGAAATATTTTCTGTGGATGTGGATCTACACAGAAATCCTCCACAAAACCTGCATATATTATTAAGTATAAGAATGAATGAAAGCAGTGAATGTGATCATTGTTGATGATGTAATATTTGGTAACTATTTATGCAAAACAGTAAATCAATATTAGATTATTCCAGTGGTTCGGGACCCTCACACACAGACACAAGAGAAAGCAGAAAATGCACACTTGCGCTCCATTAAACTGTGTTTATTTTCTCAAACTTTGTGCTTATTTTCCTGTGAATTACTGGTTAATTTTACCCTTAATAATTTAACACTCTTTGGTTACAACCAGTAGGAATATGCAACCACGAGTAGACGGCTCTTTGTTTTATGGGGCTACGAGCCAAAAAGGTTGGGAACCGCTAAAATGAATTTTACAAGGTTAACATCACTTCTCTCTGGATTTGTGCCTTATCGTTACAAAAATGTTGGCGCTAATGTGAAGAGACTTCTCTAATTTACTGTATGAAAGACTTCTTGTGGAACAGCCAAGGCCAAGTGACATCCTCGCTGCAGGCCTTGCTAAATTAAATATAGTGATTTGGGGATATGTTTAAAAAAAATATTTCCCTCCGCAAATCTAAACACTACAGAAATATTTTTCAATTGAATCTGTTGCAACCCATTTCTCACTCACTTTGTTTTGGCTGTGAGTCCTGAAATCACATTATATTTTGCTACAGTTGTTCCTAAAGTGGGGTCTTGAGATCCCTCTGGGACTGTGAGAGGTTTGGAAAGTCTGCGAAGTATCAGGAACTGTTTAATTGTTAGGAATGTAAAACTTTAAAAAAGCATTTTTTCTCCAAGGTTTAAAGGTGTGTTTAAGCATGTAACATTTAGGAGGATCTGTTGGCAGAAATGTAATATAATATTCATAGGTATGTTTTCATTAGTGTATAACCACTTGAATATAGGAACTGTTACCTTAGAATGAGCTGTTTTTTT